GTTTTTGCACCAATCTCTTGTGTGGAACTGTGTCAAAAGCCTTCTTGCAGTCCAAGAAAATGCAATCCACCCACCCATCTCTCTCTTGTCTTACTGCTGTCACCATGTCATAGAACTCCAGTAGGTTTGTGACACAGGATTTCCCGTCCCTGAAACCATGCTGGCTGCTGTTGATGAGATCATTCCTTTCTAGGTGTTCCACCACTCTTCTCCTGATAATCTTCTCCATGATTTTGCATACTATACATGTCAGTGACACTGGTCTGTAGTTTAATGCTTCATGTCTGTCTCCTTTTTTAAAGATTGGGACTACATTTGCTGTCTTCCATGCTTCAGGCAATCTCCCTGTTTCGATAGATGTATTGAATATTGTTGTTAGGGGTACACATAGCGCCTCTGCTCCCTCTCTCAATACCCATGGGGAGATGTTATCTGGCCCCATTGCCTTTGAGGTATCTAGCTCACTCAGAAGCCTCTTCACTTCTTCCTCGGTTGTGTGCACTGTGTCCAGCACTTGGTGGTGTGCCCCACCTCTCCGTCTTTCTTGAGTCCCTTCTGTCTCCTCTGTGAACACTTCTTTGAATCTCTTGTTGAGTTCTTCACATACTTCACGGTCATTTCCTGCTGTCTCTCCTCCTTCCTTCCTTAGCCTGATTACTGGTCCTTGACTGTTGTTTTCCTCCTGATGTGGCTGTACAACAGTTTCGGGTCAGATTTGGCTTTCGCTGCTACGTCATTTTCATGTTGTCTTTGGGCCTCCCTTCTTATCTGTGCATATTCGTTTCTGGCTCTACGACTGTTCTCCTTATTCTCCTGGGTCCTTTGCCTTCTATATTTCTTCCATTCCCTAGCACACTTGGTTTTTGCCTCCCTGCACCTTTGGGTAAACCATGGGCTCATCCTGGCTTTTTCATTACTCCTGTTACCCTTGGGTACAAACCTCTCCTCAGCCTCCTTGCATTTTGTTGCTACATATTCCATCATCTCATTAACTGGCTTCCCTGCCAGTTCTCTGTCCCACTGAACCCCGTTCAGGTAGTTCCTCATTCCTGTATAGTCCCTTTCTTGTAGTTTGGCTTCATTCGTCCTGGCCTTCCTGCTTCTCCCTCCACTTGTAGCTCTACTGTGTATTCGAAGCTTAAAACCACATGGTCACTGGCCCCAAGGGGTCTTTCATATGTGATGTCCTCGATATCTGCACTACTGAAGGTGAATACTAAGTCCAGCCTTGCTGGTTCATCCTCTCCTCTCTCTCTTGTAGTGTCCCTTACGTGTTGGTACATGAAGTTCTCCAGTACCACCTCCATCATCTTAGCCCTCCATGTATCTTGGCCCCCATGTGGGTCCAAGTTCTCCCAATCGATCTCCTTGTGGTTAAAGTCACCCATGATCAGGAGCTTTGCCCTGCATGCATGAGCTCTTCTGGCCACTCTAGCCAGTGTGTCAACCATCGCTCTATTGCTCTCGTCGTACTCTTGCCTTGGCCTCCTGCTGTTCTGTGGTGGGTTATACATCACTGCTATTACCACCTTGGGACCTCCAGAGTGAAGTGTTCCCACTATGTAATCACTTTCTTCTCCGCAATCTCCTCTCTCCAGCTCATCAAAATTCCAGCGATTTTTGATCAGCAACGCCACTCCTCCACCCCCCTGTTCCCTCTGTCTTTCCTCAGGATTTGGTATCCCGTTGGAAAGATGGCATCTGTTATCATAACTGTAAGCTTGGTTTCTGTGAGAGCTATGATGTCCGGTGATGCTTCTTTGACTCTTTCGTGCCACTCCTCCCACTTATTTGTTATTCCATCAGCGTTTGTGTACCATACCTTCAGTTTCCTTTCCAACACTGTGGTTTGGGGGGCCTGTGAGGGTGGGAGACCTGGTGACATACTGTGGGATTCTATAGCTCGGTGTTGGGTGGAGGCTGTGGGTATGTGTGTGTGTGTGTGTGTGTGTGTGTGTGTGTGTGTGTGTGTGTGTGTGTGTGTAGTAATATTTTAAATTATTGCACTGTTTTGTCTTAATGCTGGTCACGGGTTCTTCATCCAAGGGACCGGATTTAACTTACTCTTCCTTAGTTGGATTTAGCTCATGAATATAATTAAAATATATCAATGATGAATAATGCTCAACTTGGTTTCATGGAAAGACTTGGGTTGTGTTTGTCCTAAATTACCATAATTATTGGCGAAATTTGAATATTAGTTTCTATATGATGATCTGTGAATGAATCTTCTATTTCTTTCAAACCTTCAGTGATAATATTTAAGTGCATTATCAGCTTAAGCCGCACTCTGCACTGCTTTAGTCGCATGTGTTGCGGCGCCAGGTACTGGGACTATGGAAGAATACCTTTCTCAGAACGAGCACTGACTGAAATATAGCTGATTAGTAAATATAACAGTCAAGGGTAATTTGAGCAGAGAAGATATGATAAGAATGCCTGGTATTAATTATGATAAGAATGCCTTGTATTAATTTTGATAAGAATGCCTGGTATTAATTATGATAAGAATGCCTGGTATTAATTATGATAAGAATGCCTGGTATTAATTATGATAAGAATGCCTTGTATTAATTTTGATAAGAATGCCTGGTATTAATTATGATAAGAATGCCTGGTATTAATTATGATAAGAATGCCTTGTATTAATTTTGATAAGAATGCCTGGTATTAATTATGATAAGAATGCCTGGTATTAATTATGATAAGAATGCCTGGTATTAATTATGATAAGAATGCCTGGTATTAATTATGATAAGAATGCCTGGTATTAATTATAAGAATGCCTGGTATTAATTATGATAAGAATGCATGGTATTAATTATGATAAGAATGCCTGGTATTAATTATGATAAGAATGCCTGGTATTAATTATGGACGATATCGGGATTAATCGCTTGATTCCAACTATGAAAAATTACTAGAGCGACTAAAATAAACCTGAGAGATTTCGGGTGTTTACACACATCTTCAGAGTAATAGGGAGGAAAAGCAAGAGAGGCACATTGTAAATGTTTTAAGGAGAGGTAATACCTCGCTCTGGTATCTGAAATCACACATGCATATTTAGTAAAATTAACAGACGAGAACGGGAATTTGTGCAGAGAACATAGAGATAGACAGGCAGGAGTCTGTCTATTAATATGAAGGAACATACATATTTAGCAGGGATTACCATGAAAACGGTGATTGACATTTAATGAATTGGAATGAAGCCTAACAGATCCTCAGGGAGCCAGATTTTAGAGTCGACAGTGTTGAGAATTACCACTAATTCTTGTAACAAATACCATTTGCCCTCAGCTACCGTAACGTACAAAGTGTTATTTACAACATATCTGACACAGTGCTACAAAAACACATCGCCTCCTGGTCTAGAGTCGATGCAATCAGCTCCATTAATCCTGAAAAGAATGCAACATATGCGTGGAGCTTATATAATGCAGACAAATGAGGTGAATGAGACGTATGTGGTGTCACCTTGGATAAATCCACAGGTGGAAGTAGGTCATGTCTATAGGTTGGGCAAAGCGTAGAATTCCCTGTATGAAGATGTGTGGATTTGTCCAAGGAGACACCGCCTACGAATGTTTCTCCTTACCTGTCTGCAGCATAAAAGTCTCCTAATTTGAGTTTATGCTGCATACTTTTCAAGATTAAGGGACTGATCACATCGACTCCAGGCTGAGGGACTGATTACCTCAAACTACGGATCTTTGACCATTCTTCTCCGTATTAGACTGATAAAGCCACTGACTGGCGAAACGTTTCCACAGTATAGATACCCAAGTGTTATAGAAATGTCTAATTAGTCAACCTGTCGGTTCTATGAACCAGTTATATACATCGCCTCTTCCACTTCGGGACACAGCCATCAGATTTTCCTCAGACTTAATCAGTGTTTACCAGCACTGGAGAAGCCTGTCTAAGGTTCAGCAAAACTTTCTATAGTTTTCAGTTTCATCTAGGAGAATCTGCCTACCAGAGTTCATTAACATCAAAACTTAGATGTTTGCCTGTTTTCTAGTATAAACTATTCAGTCTTTCAATGTAGTTCTGACTCTTATTAATGAGGGTATAACAAGTGCGGTCGACCGCTGAAGACAATTTATGTCACGGAATTAATTTTTGTCAGATTTCCTTGGACTCTCTGTGATTCTTCAACGCTCTCCAGATTCTTCATATTAGTTCCTGATCATCCAGGTTGTGGTGTATACATTGCACTGCATGAGGATGGTATTAACAATTTGATAGATAAAGCCAGCAGTTAGCAGGCCTAGTCTGGGACAAGGGCCACGGGGGCAGTGCCCCCGGAAGTGACTCCAGGTAAACTGATAACATGTTCAGAAAGGTTTGCTGTGCAAACAATCGTGTTTACTTATCGCTGAGTAACGCTTTAAATTTCCATTGCAACTCGATATATCAGTTATCATTATCTCCCAAGTTTTAGGTGAATTTATAATTCATCATTAGAGAAAAAATTATTGTAAATCTTTGGCCATATATTAACATTAAGTTATGGTCATTTATACTCATAAAATAACTGTAGCAGCTCTTCACTCCATAACTTAATTTCTTATTTTCGCAACGGTGATCTTAAATAAAAAGTCTACATACAATGATTTATTGGAATAACTAAATAAGAGGCGATTTTTTTAAATAAAATACAATGATTTTATATATAAAAAATTAAAATGAAAAATTGCGTAAAATCACTCTCTCTTACACAGTAATTTCCAGGTGAAATATCCAGAGAGAGTACTGACTGGGCGAGTCTTCATTATCCATGCAGACTTATGGAAGAACAACCTCGTTATTAGGCTGACCTAAAAAACGGGTGGGTTATATCTGTTTGTATCATGAACTCATTACTAGCATCTAAGATCCACATTAAGAAGATGAGTGAGTTATCTAGTAGCCAAAATCTACGTAGAAACATTACTTGACTAAAAATTTGCTACCAGTAGATAATGTGACACTCACTTGGAGGGTGCTGGTGGAAAACTCAATAGTTCGGCCGTAGCGGAGCTCTCCGAATACCCAGTCCTCAATGACTCTCTGAACCAGCGGGTTCTCTGGGTCAACTATCCTCAGGGCGGTAACATTGGTACCACTGTGACGGAAGTCGTCCAAGTTCACTGTGTGCAGGTCCTGTCAGCAATATAACACTAAACACTAAATCGTAGAAGTAATTCATTATTACTTTTAGTGCACTTAAATACAATAAAGAACAAATCATCAGTAATAAGTGAATTGAGAAATGGTATGGTAATATCGACAAGATGTGGGGAGACGGCGAAAGTACATAGAAGCTGTCCTAATTGCGGTCAGTAACACTATCCTTCAAAAATACGGCAGCTACACTATTTCCAAATTGCTGATCAACAGGATATTACCCATTCTGGAGACCGCTGTAACATGATGTTGACAGGTCTGTCTTCAGCCCAACCCGTCTCACCACAATTACTACCAGTACTACCCACGCGACATTTCACATGACTCCTGCCACTATATATACAAGTTTTCTTAGTTATCTCTGTATTAGGACTGAAGAAGCCACTCGTGGCTAAACGTTTTCTTTAATAAATGTCCTGAACAGTACAAGTGTGTCTTTTTCCTCAATAAGTGAATTCCCCAGAAATTATATCTTCGTCTATCTTCCCCCCTGTGAGATACATCTGCCAGAGAAATATAAACAAAAGAATACCAGAAGCCTGTAAATCAAAACTCAAATTAGCAAGGTACTGGGAGAGAGGAATACTAATGAAGCACTGAAGCAAATTATTGGTGAGGATATTATTGTCTCTAAGGATTCAACTAGAGCACGAACTCTACTGAGTAAACACCCGACAAGAACTCCACTCATATTGACCTTCCTGACAGAGGCAAAGGCTTAGAGCCTTTACACCTCCAAAATTTAGATGTGTATAAAGTTTCTATATTGTGGTTAAATTTGATTTTGCCAACACAATATAGAAGGAATGCTTCTATATTGTGTACACGAAATGAACTCATGTAAAGGTGTGCTGCAAGGTGATTCCCAGGTCCCTCTCCCTTTCTTTTTAGCCATTAAGAAAGTCAAGTAAAAGGCTGTCTCGTAACGTCTACATCTGGTTATTGGATAATTGCGCATACAAGCAGGCATTGCAGAATCCTTGTTAAAGATCATCAGAAAAATAAGGGATCTCGGAAAGAATCAAGGGATATCTCTCAATCCCTCCATCAAATCATTGCTCAAATCAATGTCACTGTCAAAAACACAAATCATTTATCTAGACGGCAATATTCTCCTTGGTGTTTTCTTCGCTTTCAACGATATCAATTTGATTCCAGAAAAAATATCTCCAACATAAGGAAGATTGAAGATCGGATTAAAGATATTGATGCAAACGATTCTGTCTCTTCCAAAGCACACCGTTTCTGCGATGTTTCCCAACAGCTGACAATCCCATAATGAAGAAATATGTCACCCTTCCAAAATCCACATTAGAAAACACCTTGACTCTTCCCCTAAATAACAAATAATATTTGACAAAGTGGACTGGGAATACGTAGAGCCTTGCAAGCTTACCTGTCCGTCTCATCGGTATAAAGTGAAAAAGGAAATTATACCAAACATCTGGGTGATTTAGCAGAAGTATGAGAACTCCAGCCTTTCTAGAGATATTTTGAACTTAGTCTCACTATTTCATTACGTAATTTGGCTACGATACTGGTCTACAAGCAATGTAAATGAGACAGCCCTATTCCCGTAACCTCGTATAAACATATGTGGCCACAACACTCATGCTGGTGATTTATTGCCTCACAATAGTGAGCAAACATCACTCTCGAGACTTCTTGTTGCTAGTTGTGGTAACGGGTATATATTTCGTTTAATGTGTTTTATATAGCAGTGGGTCTCCGCCTTGTTACTCATATTCACATTTAATTTGAACGTATTTGTGACAAGTCATAAACTAAATAATACGATCTGCACAATCTCAACTCTTCAAGTTTCAAGGATTGATAGGCAAGTCACAGCAAAGTCAGATACATTATCATAAGAGTTTAACTATGGCTGTATGCCTTGCTGAGAACCCCGATTCCTCGTATCCTGCAATCCAGATAATCTTGCTAACTGCCCTGATGGGATCACTATCTTTCCACGGAGGAGACGCAAAATGGTGTGGCATTATACATGCGTATTCACTCTGGCTGACTCTTTCAGCCATTTTATTGCTGAGGAGTTGGGGAGTGTTGCTGATCACAGCGCAAATTTAAGAGGAGCCTTCAGGAATTTTCACTAAGAGTCATCTCAAGCATTTTACATTACGCAAGTCATGCCCACCTTGGATTTTGCAGTACCAGCGTGGAACCCACACTAGTAATAGCATGGTAAGACACGATAAAGCGCAGTAGAATGCAACGAAGCTTGTTCCAGAGCTAAGGAGTATGAGCTACAGTATGTACTGAGGTTAAAGAACTTGAATCTATCGACATTAGAGGACAGAAGAATCAGAGAAACATGGTAGCAACTTACAAAATTCTCACAGGAGCTGATAGGGTAGACCGGGAAAGGTTGCTTGGAAACAGTTACGTGGGAAACGTGGTAACAACATGCAAATACTCAAATTAATTGGTAGGGTAGAAAGTGATAGTCTGTTTGAGAGACGGGAAATAGGTACATGGGGGCACACATGCAATTTAAAGACAGATGTACCACAGGGTTGACAGGTAATAAAAATGTCATCACTCTCAGGATGGTCAGGAAGTGGAATGCCCTTGATGATGTGGTGGTTGTACACTCCACTGTTGTTAAAGCGGTACAAGACTATGAAGATAGGAGGACGTAAATCTACAAGTAGCAATGTGAGTGGCGAGTGCTTCTGTGTGACTGCAAGTGTCGAATATCTGCTTCTGGTCCGACCTCTCCGCTGACAGCTACTGTGTGTCCTCTCTCATGGCTGCGTGAGCACTATCATACCGATTCTTAAACTGTGTGTCGTGGGGGTTTGATAATGGGTTCGTTGAGTGACAGGTGTAAAATTAATAGTCTGCAGTCATGCTGGATTTGTTGAAAGAGCTATATAAGCCATCTACACCACGTCCTACAACACTCATATCTACTTCACGACTGGCGTCAGGGTGGGCACTAACCCACTGTGTTTCAAATGTTGGAGTGAAGTCTGAGACAGTGGGTATACATAATGGATATACATGAGCTTACATGGCAGTATACGTTGGCATACATGCGGAATACATGACTACTGACGTGTGTGTGTGTGTGTGTGTGTGTGTGTGTGTGTGTGTGTGTGTGTGGTGCGCGTTACTCACCAACTTGTAGTCTCAGAGGTCGATTCATAGCTCCTGGCCCCGACTCTTCCCTGGTCGCTACTACGTCCACTCTCTCCTTGCTCCATGAGATGGATCGCACATCTTATTAAATCTATGTATGGATCTTGCCTGGTGGTTAACGCTCTCGCTTCACACGGTGAGGGCCTGGGTTCGATTCCCAGCCAGAGTAGAAACATTGGACGTGTTTCTTTCCACCTGTTGTCTATGTTCCCCATCAGTAAAATGGGTACCTGGGTGTTAGTCGACTGGTGTGGGTCGCATCCTGGGACACTGACCTAAGGAGGCCTGGTCACAGACCGGGCCGCGGGGGCGTTGACCCCCGGAACTCTCTCCAGATAATCTCCAGATAAACTACATCACTCTCTAGACTGTTCCACTTCCTGACAAGTTTACGACTGAAGAACTGCTTCCTAACAACCCTGTGATTCACCTAAGTTTTTAATCTCCAGTTGTGACCCCATGAAACATTCTGTCCCTATTCACCTTGTCAGTTCCTCTCAGTATTTTTGCATGTCGTTATCATGTCCTCCCTATCCTCCTGTCCTTTTAATGTCTTCAGGTTCAGGTTGAGTTCCTTTAATCTCTTCTCGCAGGACATTACCCTCAGGTCCGGGACTAGTCATGTTGTAAACTTTGAACTTTCTTGACGTGTTTGATAGGTGCGTGTTCCATTTTTGTGCTGCAGCCTGATTTACCTGGCGTACAATGTCGTGAATGACTCTTATTTTGATGTCGAAATGCTTCTCTTGGGTTTTCCTGGTGCCCATACGCTGTACCGGTTATTTGGTTGATATGAGCTTCAGGTGACGTGTTCGGTGTGATGCTCACACCAAGATCCTTTCCCTTAATTGAGTTTTGCAGCCTTTGACCTTTTAGGCTGTACTCTGTCTGCGGTTTTCTTTGTCCTTCCCTAGGCTCCATAACTTTGCACTTGGAGCCATTTGTCGGACCAGGCTGGCAGCCTGTCCAGATCTCCCCTAGGCTTACCTGATCCTCGTCTGCTTGTATTCTCCTCATTAGATTCACATCGTCTGCGAACACGGACACTCTGAATCTATCCCTTCCGTCATGTCATTAATTTTACAAGAAACAACACCCTGACCTGGAACTGACTCTTGTCGAACCCCAACCCGACACATGTACCCACTCAACATATGCGCTCATTGTGACACCTTGTCACGTAAAAACACACGTTTTTTTCCTTTCAGTCAGGAATTCTCTGATCCTCTGCAGTACTTTTCCTGCTATTCCTGCCTGCTCCTCTAGCTTTTCAACCAGTCTCTCGTGTGTTACTGTGTCCAGAGCCTTCTGGAGTCCAAGATGACGCAGTCTACCCATCCCTCTCTCTCTCTCTCTCTCTCTCTCTCTCTCTCTTTCTGTCTTACTTTTCTTACCTTGTCCTAGAGGTCTACTAGGTTTGTGACTCAGGATTTCCCTTCCCTGAAGCAGTGCTGGTTACGATATATGAGCCCGTTCCTTTCTAGTGCTCCACCACTCTTCTTCCGATGATCATCTCCATAACTTTACATACTATACATGTCCGTGAGACTGGTCTGTAATTTAGTGCTTCCTGTCTGCCTTCCATAAGTCAGGCAGTGGCCCTGTTTCGAGAGATTTATTGAAGATTTGTTAGTGGCACACACAGTGCATCTGCTCCCTCTCTCAGGACCCAAGGAGAGATATTATCTGGGCCCATCGCATTCGAGGTATCTACCTTCCCTAGCAGTTTCTTCACCTCCTCAGTTGTGTGCAGTATGCCCAGGAATTGCTTGTGCTCCTCAATTTGCTGGAAGCCTCTCTGTCTCCGCTGTGAA